GCCAAAAGTTTGGATTTGAGCACAGCAAAAATGACTGGGAACATCAGGTTGAGAAGGTTTTAGAGAATGAGAAAGTCAAGATCTTATGGGACTTCAGAATCCAGACTGAGAGGCACTTGGCCTACAATTACCTGACATAACAATAATTGAAAAGAAAAAAAGGATGGTTCATTGACATTGTAATACCTGGTGATGCATGAATTGAAGATAAACAGCAAGAAAAAAAATCACAAAATACCGGGACTTGCAAATTGAGGTTGAGCGACTGTGGAAAAAGAAATCATGTGTTGTCCCAATTGTAATTGGAGCCCTTGGAGCAATACCTAAAGGGCTACCTCGCTATTTGGAAATTCTAAATTTACCTGACTTGAACATTTTGATTCTACAAAAAAACACCCTACTTGGAACAATTTATATCCTCCGATGTTACCTTAACAGTTCCTAGGTCCTTGATTAGGACTCGAGCTGTTCGGCTACCAACCAGCCCCAAAGGCTGTGAATCTCACCAAAGATTGATCACATAACAATAACAACAACAATAATAATGGTATACTAATTCCTTTATCAAGCACACTTTTTATTTCTTTCAACAGGAAATGTGACTTGATGGAATATTATGAATTTAAACCTATGTGACGTAATGACAGTTTATGCATTAATTAGAAAAAAGTTATTTTAAACATTTTATCTATGTAATGATGTATGAGCAAACTTAAACTTTATGTGAACTAACACTACACTACTGCATATCTGTCACTGTATTATGTAATTACCTTCTGGAATTTTATTTTTAGTTATTTTTATTATGTATTAATTTATTCAATTTGGATGTCACCCAATTCTAACATAGCCCTGCTTTTTCATATTTCTGCTTGAGTCTGGAGGGGGAAAACCTCTGCTTTTTAAGGAGTTGCATGACATCTAATATTTGGATACCTTAAAGCAGTTGCTCGCCAGTAATCCTGAAAAATTGGACTCTTTTAAGAAATTCCAGAAAAATCCTAAGGTTGTGTAAGCTGCAAACTTTATTTGTGAGAGGCACTCTAGTATTCTAGAAAGGACGCTCTTTGATAAGTCATCTCCATGTGCTTTATTTGAGAACATGGTTCAGACTCCGTCTGTCTTAACTTTCATATTTGAGAGAGGAGATTTAAAATGCTAAAAAATGATATTTGAAGTGTCTAATTTTGAATAATTATTAAATGAAGAGTAAGCAACAAGAATGGCCATTTCTGAGTCTCCTTTCTACATTCAGACCTCCTATCATTAAAGCAGAAAAAATAAGCCAATCCAAAGTACATAGGGAATATGCATGGCCTTTATGTTTGAAGATGCTCAAAGATCCCTGCATCAAAAGGTTAGAACCTAGTGGAGATGATTTTTCAGAAGACACATACAGGTAGTCCTCAACTTACAACAGTTTGTTTAGTGTCTGTACAAAGTTCTAATGGCACTGAACAAAGTGACTCATGTCTGTTTTTCACACTTATAATCATTGCAGCATCCCCATGGTCACATGATGTCAATTTGGACATTTGGCAACTGCCTTGTGTTTATCACGGTTGCAGTGTCCCAGAATCATGTGATCACCTTTTGTGACCTTCTGATAAGCAAACTCAATGAGGAAGCCAGAATTAACAATTACAGTGATTCACTTAAACAATTCTGACAAGAAAGACTCTGCCCAGAAATGGCATCCTGAACCACTCAAGCATTTCCCTGCTTTGGCTGGACAAATGCCTGACTGCTAGAAGCTGGGAAAGGAATGACATAGAATTAGCCTGAAAGTGCCAGTTTTCTTTTATGCTTGAAGAACTAAAAACATGGTTTTTGTGGGGATTTTTTTTTTTTTTGCATCTCTTCATGATGTGCTTTTCAAACATTTAATTTCAAAACGGAATACACCACATTAATCTGTCTGGCAACTATTTTATTGCTGAAAAGTGAGCAGGAATGTTTATATGTAATACTAACAAAATATTTCAATAATACACAATTTTCTCCATTTCTTGCAGTGTAACGCATGGCCTGAATGACCACGTTGCTGAACGATGCATTTGCCCAGAGGGCTCAATCTTGTTCAATTCTTTCAGTGGCCTCTGTGTTCCAGAATGTGGTAAGTTTCTCTTTTCATTATGAATAGTGATGACCCACTGGTTACTGAAGCATGCAATATACTGATAATAGGTAGAATCATTTTTATATCTGGCAGATGGGAAGAACAATGCTATGGTTTGGGAGGGAAAGATGGTGTTTTCAACTTTGCTTTTCCAAAGAAATTAAGTACACCAGCTCTTGTCGACATAGTTTTTTCATAACTGGTTTTAGACCAGTAAAAGAGAATATTTGTAGCTCAGGGTTGAAATGAGGGGTCCTAGGTGCTCTCTGAATTTGCTTGCTTTCTTGTAAATGTTTCATTACCCAAACTAGGTAACATCATCAGTGCAATGTTCAGAATTCCAAGCTTAATGCATCTGGATGCTTCCATGTTGAAGGAGAATGTACTATATTATCTGAGCAAATGACATCTGTATGAATTTTTAACTTTTTTTAATAGGTTGTGTGGGAGCAGATGGACTCCCAAAACTGGTAAGTAGTTCATACAGAATGCTATGTCATCATGAACCCAGGGTACATCACTAGAAAAGGACATCATGTCACTTTTGATTGAAGATGGGAGACCGTTTCACTTAGAGACACCAAATGGGATGATCTGTCAGTGGAGGTACAGGCAGTCATATGACATGCCCATAAGTTGTTTTTAGAAGAGCAAGATTAAACAAAATGAAAATTAAGACTATACTTTGAAAGCACCTTGTTAAAAAAAAAACCTAACTAAAATATCAAATTTAGGGAGCCACTTTGGTGTAATGGTTAAGGTTCTGGCCTAGAAACCAGAAGACTGCCAATTTTAGTCCCACTTTAGGCATGCAAAACTGGCAGGGTGATTTTAGACTAGTCAGTTTCTCTCAACTCAACTCACCTGGTTGTGGTGAAAATATGAGGATGAAGGAGTATTGGTATGTTCACCATCTTCATTTGTATTTGAAAAAAGCAGGATTTTTTTTAAAAAACAGTGCTAACTACAATTCTTGACTTCATGCCCACTAGTATTAAGTTTATATTTATCAAACATAATGCTTGAGATGATGCATACCTAATTTATCATAGTTCCCCGTGGTTTGTAATTTTAGAACCCTTCTTGGCCATTAAATAAAATCACCATGAAGAAAATATCTTCCAAATGTTAAGGAACAATCCAGCAGGTATATCTGACATAATGAAAAGCCAAGTAATTGTTCCTTCTTAAGTACACTGATAGGTTTAAAAGTTATAGTTATCATTGCATCCTTGTTAATCTGACTTTTCTTTACAACAGCCTGGTAGCAAATGGAAGAGCAACTGTAAAGAGTGTACATGTGACCCTTTGACTCTCAGTGTACAATGTAAGCCATGGAGCTGCCCACCAACCAAAGAATGTAAGGCGGAAGGATACATGCCCATCCCTGTGCTAAATTCAGACGATCGATGCTGCCCCGAAATAAAATGCGGTATGCATTATTTGTTTACTTATCTCTAATACCAAAAGGGTTGTGAAGCTCTGTTGTGTTCTCTCGCACACACACACCTATATGCATATACCACTTTAATATATTACAGGCTTCACAAACACCACCACAACTTCTGTTGCCCTCTGGTGGTGCTATGATTGCTTGGAACTTCAAGGGCTGTGGCCCAGGGAACCTTCAGACCCAAAAGTCTGAGAAAATGATCTAAAGAAACGATATCAGGGTGTTGCCCAGCCAAGATGTAAAAAGATATAAGAAATGATCAGTGAAAACTTCAGGCTTGCTTGAAGGCGGAATTCATACACACACACATGCACGCACGCACACACAAATACACGTGCGTGCACACACACACACAAATAATATGTGAAATGACCTTGAGAGGCAAGACAGCCAAGGGAAGGATGAAATTCCCTGCAGCAAGAATGTTAACAGGGCAAGTCCCTCCCTAGTTTTGGAGGCTATGAAGGAAGTAAATTCAGACTTGCAAGATTCTGTGATTTTAATTTTTCAATAAAGTAAAATTAGCTCTTCTTATCATGTTTTCTGTCTGGCTGACACACATTGCCCCCTTCACCAGCACTTTTGAGACTAAACAGCCTTATTTGCTTGTGATCGCTGAATCTTCCGCATAGCCAGCACTCTTTGACTTTGAAAGAAGAGAGGGGAGGCATTGTTATGCCTAGAAAACACAAGCATTTCAATTTTCTGCCACCACTTATCTTTGAAGTAGCGTGATGAACAATGATCCAAAGCTATTCCAATTTGTGGAAACAGAAACAAGAGAAGTTATAATTGAGTCTTAAAATGTTAATGTTAACTATGTTTCCATTAGAGAAAAATTGGATTGCCTGACATTTTTGAGAGAGACAGACAGACAGACAGACAGACAGACAGAGACAGAGACACTAATAGGGATAGTAAATGAACATTCAAAAGACAACTAAATTACTAGTCCACATATTTGATATATAGGAGAGAGAACAATCTTTGGTGGTTGAAACACCCTGTATTCTTTACATACTAGCACTATATGCTTTAGATAAGAGTTTTAGGCAGAAAACTAGAAATGTTTTTTTCCTCATTTCCTATAGGATCAAGGTTATGTGCACTTAGTAGTCTATGACATATGTCTGGAAATGGGTGTTTCCAGCCTTCAAAGGGCCTCTGGAGCCTGGGGAAGGCTGTTTTCACCCTTCTGGAGGCTCAAGAAAAGCCCCTCCTCAGCATGGTGCAGGAGGCTGAGTAGGCCCTGGTGGGGTTGCATGCGCATGCACAGGGAGGGTCACGTGCACATGCGCAGGAGGCGGGGTGCATGGAATAGTGGGTGTGGGCAGGCGCGCACAAACGATTTTGACACACAAGGACAAAAAGTTTAGCCATCACTGCGCTAGGGTCTACATGTTCTGATATCAAATCAGAATCATAGATCAGATAGCCATTATCCCAAGAAGCCAGGCAAGTCCAATTGTTTCAGGCCTTGTTCAGTTTTTTCTTCTTGTTGATCTATTCCACAGTATGCAACACCAGTATGTGCGAAAAGACCACTTGTAAACCTGGAGAGTACCTAGCCTCAGTCACTTTTGGTCCATGCTGTGCCAACATTACTTGTGGTAAGTTCAAACTTGCTGAGGTATATTATAAGATAAATGGACTATGTAGCCTAAGGCAGGGGTGTCAAACTCA